AACCTAAGACAGTGAAATTCATTGTTCCATCCTTGTGCAAGCTATGAGGTTTCCAGGTTAGCTCTGGAGACTATAAAAACTCAACTAAGATGACAAGACAAGGAGCTCTGGTAGCGTAGTGGTTACGAATCGGGCTGGGAACTTTAAGGTCAGCGGTTCGAAACTACCAGCTGCTCCGCGGGAGAAAGATGAGGCTTTCTATTCCCGTAAAGATTTACACCCTCGGAAACCCTGTACAGGGTCGCTATGGGTCGGAACCGACTCGATGGCACTTAACAACAACAACAAGATGACAAGACAGGTTTTAAAGGACTTAACTGACTATCACGATCTTCACCATCCACCTAGCCACAAGAAAGAACTGAAATGCAATCGAACACCAATCTGATCCATTCTATCTCTAGCAAAATGATCCCAGTTGAGACTGGAATATAAAAATGTCCCAGGATGTAGGTCTGCCAAAGTATTGGGGAACTTTCAGTAAAAGATTTCAGTTGTTTATTTCCAGAGAATTAAAACTAGGAGTTACTTAAAAGTGTTACTTCATACAGAAATTCAAATTCATTCAAATTTTCCATATTTAGATGATCTTGGGTAACTCAAAGGCACTGCTAACAGAATTTGCTGATGCATTAAGGCATTATTCTTCCTGGCAAAGTGAAGAAAAAAATGAATTGTTCATCTAGTTAATTCAGCCTAAAATGTCAAGGTAATAGACAATAGGTGTTATTAAATGCCATTGAGTTGGTTCTGACTCATAGCGACACTATATAGGGTTTCCGAGGAAAAGCTGGTGGGTTTGAACCACTGACCTTGTGGTTAGCAGTCCAATGCTTATCCTAGAGTACCACACCAGAACTCCAGAGGCAACAGTTTGTCTGGACTTAATACCACTCACCTGAATTCTTTCATATACTCAGATAACATCCTATATCCCACAGCGGAACTTACCTGTCCCTAGGAACGACGAAATAAAATTCAATCATACCTATAAATGTAGTATTCATAGGCTAGAATTGTATGTCAACTCCCCATGCCGTCTTTCCCTGCCTTGCCTGTAATGATATCTTTGGTAAACTCTTCAATTGGGCCTACTGTATTCTGATGAAAATCCTAGCCATCACTTATATCTATGCTTTAAGATTTATCTGAAATGGAAAGCAAAACCACATCCTAAATGCCCGTGGCTGGTGTTAGTAGATATGTGTGAAAATCAATCATATTTCTGGGAATGTAGATGATGAGAGAAGCATAAACCTGCCTTTATAGTATTCAATTAGTGTTGTTGTTAAGTGCCACGGAGTCAGTTCCAACTAAAAGCGGCACTATATAGGGTTTCCGGAAAGTGGCTGGTGGGTTTGAACTGCTAACCTTGTGGTTAGCAGTTTAGTGCTTATCCTAAAGTGCCACACCTGGACTCCTCAATTAGTATTAGGCTTCCTGTATACTAGAAAAATTGAGAAATATTAAATATTTATCTTCAGCATATTAATTTTTATATATTTACCTAGATGAAAGTTTCATCCTGCACTTTGTTCTCTCATTTGGACATTACACCTAAAGCCAAAGGAAGGCAATAACAAATCTGTGTGTGACACTGTGAAACAGAACTTTCTGTTACACCAGAGACCTTTGTTATATGTAATTCCCCCCTCTATTAAAATGCTATTTGACCTCAGGGGAGAAAATGTTTTCCTTAGAGTACCTCACTGAAAAAATAGCTGAGACTTAAAGATGAATTTGATTTGACTTGTGACCTTGAACAGTGGAGAATTAGTGACAACCTCTCCAGTAGTTTTTTTATGATAAAGTAAAAGTAGCAATAACAAAATCCCTAAACTAAACATAAAGATCATTTATTTGCTCCAAAGTATTTTTGAATGAAAATACAAAGCACCTCTACCTACTATCAACCGGAGAGTAAAATAAAAGAGGAAATGAAGAGAGAACTAGTCACCAGTATATCTCAAACTAAGAAAATCCTAAATAAAAAGGTAAAGAAACACACACATATATACACACATTATTTATTCAAGAAAATATTAACTCCTGATCTTTCCTTTTACTAAGGTAATAATGTGAAATCGGTGAAGGGACAAATGCTGAACACTTGGTTTAGAATTCTTGGGGATGAAACAATCGCCACATAATGGTCACTCTTTATGGAATGTAGTCTAATGGGATAGTAGTAGATTAATGAACATTTATCTTTTCTTCCAAAAGTACCAACCATAACAAATGTCTTTTTAAATATATTTATTTGCTCGATATATATTATACAAGTGAATTTTCTATTGCTTGTGACCTGAGATTAAAGTGATTGCTAATTTTCTAGCAGTTCAGTCAGTCTTGCGGCCTTCTGCAAGCGTTGTCAAATTTCACATTGCTACTTTTCTAACCAGCAGTTTTGTTTTCAAATGCCCCAAGGCCAATGACTAAGTCCAAACACAAACTTTGCAAGTAAAAAACTCCAAGCAGGAAGAAATTTTAAACACATCATTATCATCAAGATCACAGTATATATTGGCTGTCCTCTACTTTTAGAGTATCTTTTCTCTTATACTTACCAGTTTTGTCATATATTTTGCATTGGGCTGAGTCTCCTAGGAGAATATCCAATTGATTAATCATGGGACTCTTGTCTATCTACCTGTGATGGTAGTCAGTATACCAGAGTATGCTTATTTTATACGTTATGAACTATATAACTTGTTCTAAAACTGGTCGCATTTCAAAACCTTAATAAATACATACATGTTTTGTTAGAATACAAATATATGTTTGGTAAACAAACATATGCTTAAATAATTACATTTATATTGGATAGTAGAAAACTCAGCAATTACTGATTGGAGAGTGAAAATACCTTAAGTGTACACATGCCATAAACAATTCATCAATGCCAGTCATTACTTTGCAAAGTAGTATGCACTCCAAATGTAGAATAATTTAATAAAACTGAACGAAAATAATAATCATATTATGGGTAAATATATTTACTCACTTTTATTTGAAGGTGGACTTTTATAGAAGAATTGTATGAAATAATTCTATCTGGAAACAGTGTAAAATTGAAAGATTTGAGGGGAAGTCTTTTCTTTGAGGAAACTGCAGATGGCATATTATGAATGCATATAATGGCATATTATCAAGATGAGTAGCTTGGTAGGGCATAGGGTGATTTGTGAATGCCTGTCACTTAAAGCGATTAAAAAACAAATGAAACCTTCCTTGGGACTTTCAAACTCTTTTTCCTACATTTTCTTTAGTCAATAAAGACTTTGTTAGTAAGTGGCAAATAGGAACTCCTCATTTTCATCTCATTCAAAATTCTAACCCAGTGAAAACTGGGAGATAATTCATTTTCTACTTTTCATGTTCAATTTTGAATAATTTATTTATGAGTAGATATAAAGATGTCTCCTGGGAGATACTATAATGATGCATTTTTCAAAATAGTTATGTCGTTGTTGTAAAGTGCCGTTGAGTCGGTTCCGACCCATAGCAAACCTGAACAGGGTTTCCGAGGCAGCTTAAATGTATGTTAGCTACCTCCCTTATCATCTCATTAAAGTAAAATTTAGTTAGGTAAATTCCACATTTATGCAATACAACTCCTTTGTAAAGTTAACCTCTTATTGTAAATTTAATAAGCCAGGTAAAATGTAAGAAATAGAAGCTATTCATATTAGGAATATCAAATTTTATACTGTCACTTTTAAAAGACAATGTTACTAAGAGGTACTTTAAAGTTTGTTGCCCAAATGTGACTCACAATAAATTTACACTTTAAGAATCATTTAAATTTAAATATACTGAAACTCTCCTTGAATTCTGTTCAAACTGTTAAAATAAAACAGACAAGCATGTGGAGCTATCCCCTAAGCCACTTTTTCTGTATTCTAGTTGCTATGGCAATTTATACAACTGAAAAGTATCACATATAAGATGGTTAGTGCCCACAAACTCATAGAAAACCACACAAAACATTAATTCCAATAAGATCAGGAAATAATCCTTTTCAATGAATACTGTACATACTATAGTCAAATCTATTAAAAGAGACATCACTTACTTTCTAACTTTTGACCCTTTCCTTTGAACTACTACTATTCAAATACAGAAGCTTGGTGTCTGATTTAGGCAAAAAAAAAAAAAATTGCTAACTTTTATATTCACCTTCAACTTCTCTATTCATACATTGGCTCTAAGATAGTTCCTCTATGCTGGCTGAAATACAACAAATCTGAAGCTATTTTAAGCTACAAGTTAAATTTTACTAAGGAAGACATGGAATGTTACATTTAACTGGGTTCTATCCTGTCCAATAACGTACATTAAATAAGTCAAATACTTGTTAAAAACTTTTCAATGTCCTATTCAGAGCACTTCTCTTTCATATGGTGGAAAAGCTTTCTGAGAGATTATCAAATATTACGTTGAATATTTATTATAAAACAAGCAATATACTTTATCATCACATTTAAAGCTGTAAAATTCATGGCATTTTTTCCCCCAAAGATCCCATAAATAGATTTACTTCTAATTATCATCTATTTGGCAAAGTACTGAACTCTAATAGGGGAATTTGGTTTACTGCTGTAAATAAGCACAAAGTAAATTAATCCATTATTTGTCAGAGGAAATTGCAAAAACTTCACCAGGCAAAATCGTGATTTTGATTTTTGATTCCCTTTTAACTATTTTACAACTGGCATAAATCCTAATTGTGTCATCTCTCTTCCTTCTTCCACTCTCACCACCACTGCCATTTTAAGCTTCATATTATTTGGTGATGGTTTATTTGAAAACAACACTAAGTATCAGCATGAGCTTTTTAAGTGAGCCATCAGCTTGGGGGGGTGGGGAAAGCGGTTAGCTCGTATCTAACGTAGTTTCAGAATTTGTGACAAATCCTTAGCTGTTTCTACAGAATAGGGAAGTTACAAGGAGGTGACTATAGCAGTTGATAAGGTCGGAAGAGAATGTCGAAATCTCACCTTTTGAGCTGCTTTAGAAGGACTCTTGTTTTTGCTCCCTTTTGGTCTTCCTCTGGGTCTCTTAGGAGAGGGCTCACCAGTTGGCTCCTAATTGTAGGGGGAAAAAATGCTGTTGTGGCAAATGGAAAGAAATTGAACCTGACTCTCCAGCTATATTATCTGCAAGTGCTGCTCCATAAAGCTGTTGGACCACATTCACTTCAAGCATACATGGATGGTGATGATGATAACAGAGATTACAGAAAGGGGAAATAACTATACCGTTAACACAAGAGTTCAAAGAGAAAGTTCGATTTTGCATATGCAAACCAAATTCCATTTCAACCCTAATCAGGTAACAAAGGCCGATAAGGCTGCAGGCTCTAGGAAGAATGTCATTTTTTTTGTTGCTTTGGTTTTTTTAAGGTGTAAAATTTGCATAACTATGCATTTGAAAACTCAAAAGCATTTTACACGACTACCACTATCATTGTACTAACATTTTAAATACCAAATATGAAGCTAACATCATAAATATTTCAATCATCTTCCGTGCTTTTTTGAAAAGCTGGTTTTCATACATCTCTGTATACCTGCATTCTAGAGTGAAATATTGGAGCAATTATCCAAGTTCTTCAACTCAAAACAACTCCATCCCACCTAAAATCTCCAAATAATTATGGTCAATCTGTAGTGGGAGGATTTGCTTGAATTAACTAGATAATTGCTTCAATTCTCCACTTCCTTTAGGAGAAGCAGGCATGGACTTTAGTTTAAATTTACATATCTTTAGATAAAAACAAACATATTTTCTCCCAAACTTTTTTCGGATGCACTGCAGAAAACTATAGGGGGAAATAGTGAGGAGGAATGGAAAGGTCTAGGAAGGAGGAACTGAATCAACAGGTTTAGCAAACCTTTAAATGGTTCCTATGCCGGGCAGTAAATATTCAACTGGTTAAGAGACTATGATGATTAGTATTCCAGATTCTAAATATTCATCAGTGAATTATCAATTCATTCAGATTCGGTGATTAAACGAGACTCATTAACTTGAAACGTAGGAAAATCTTCAATGAAAATTCCCATCCCATTTAGAGGCTCTTGGGAGGGTTCTCCTGAGTGTTTTCTGTGGGCACATCCGGAGCAAACACATCAGAGACACATTTTTCTTTGTGAACTGTCTTAACTCAAAGGTAAAACTTCCAACCACCTCCAGACTCTACAGCGTTTTCTTTTGGATTGCTTTTTTTTTTTTTCCGGGTGAGGGTGGGGGTAATTAGTAGACTTAGAGAGAGCTGGGTGGTGGGTGGGAAACAAGAGAAGGAGGGCAGAGACTTCCTGGGAGGTGTAAAACAGGATTCTAACGTGGTATTAAGTGTTGCTTGACAGAGCGGGAAAACTCAGGGACCTCAAGATTGGCTTGTTTCCTTTGATGATTTCAAAAAGGTACAACCCTCTTAGTTTCTCTAAAACGCACTGGCAAGCAAACTGTTCGATTTCCTCACTTTGCTCTCAGGCGGCTTTTGGACTCTTCAGGATTATTTTCTAATCGGCCTATTTGCCATGAAGGAAGCGATTTAAAGTGAAGGGACTGGGAAGTTTTAAAGTCCGCGGAAGCGACGTTTAAATGTTCTCAATAGACCGGTCCTGTCCAACCCTGCCCGCTGATGCTTGGAAAATGCAGCAAACAACACCCCACCCCCACCCCCACCCCATCCCCGCCGCCCTGGGCGCTGCCCTCAGCTCTGCGAGCGACCGCTGCACGCTTAATTGGTTGCATCCGCAGACAAAACCTTCTACTCCGCGGGGTCCCCAGCTCCCCTCCATCGTCCTCTCTCAATTCCCCACCGCTCGTACTGGGAAGTACATTTTATTGTCTACAGCTCTAGGACGCGAAATCCTGGAGAAAATGGGGGACTGGGCACCTACCGAAGAAATGACCCAAGCTACTGTGCACCCTTTCGGACATCTCTTCCAACGCGCCCGGCCGAGCGAATTAGCCCTGCTGTGCGGGGACCCAGTCCCCTGCAGTTCATTTCTAGAGCCACCTCGGCAGTGGCTGCCCTGTGGACCTGCCACCACGCTGCATTTAAAGAGCCCTCAGAGGATCCAGGCAGCCCAGTCCCCACGCGTTCTTTGTCGGGAAGGCGCAAGTCGCGGGCCACCCCGGAGCTTAGGAAGGCCGCCAAGGGGGCGGCGGCGGCGCGCCAGACCCCAACCCAAGAGCAGCGCAGAAAGGCTGGAGAAAGACTGCAGTCCCAGGATTCTAGCCCCTCCAATCCACACAGACCAGCGCGCTCCTCTCTGCCGGTATCTCCTTCCCCCTGGCAATTTCAAAAGCTTCCCGGAAAGCGCGGGCAAGCCCTGCTTTACCCAACCCTGACCGCTTTCAGCTCCCTGAGCTACTCAGCGCCCAGCACAATAGCGAAAGTCCCAGGACGCGCTTCGCCTGAGTCCACCTTTCCCCTCGCCCCCAGTCCAGACTGCCCACCGCGATTCCCACCTCCCGATCCGGAACGACGCTGGTGCCCCGGGCTCCGCTGCAAACTCACGCCCGGGACTGCGCGTCCCCTCCCCCCGCCCCGAACGGCTGGCATCCCGTAGCCGCGGCTGGGCTCCCGCGCTCCAATAGTCGCGCGTGTCGGAGCCAAGAGCGGTCCCTTGCAAAGGGAACAGAGGTGCGCAGGTGCCCCCACCCCGCCCGCGTACTGACTTGCTGCTGCTTCCTGGGTCGGCCGCGTCCTCTCTTCTGAGGCGCCGGGGCGGCAGGTTGTCCCTGGGCTGAAGTGGACGGCTGCCCGGTGCCTTCACCTCGTGCGCTCATCCTGCCTCCCGCCGCCGCCGCTACCACCGCTGCAACCGCTTGGCCTCAGGCGCCCCAAATCTGCCCAGTACCTTTGGGTGAGATTGGGTGATAAGGGTTGGAGGGTGAGGCAGACTGAAGCAAGAGCTGGAGTGCTGTTGCTTATACTACCGCTCCTGCCACCATCAACACCGGACGTCCAGCGGCTGCCAAAAAGAGAGAAGAGGGGAGGAGGAGAGAAGGCACTGCTGGTGGCGGCGGCAGCGGTGGGTGGGTGTTGGAGGTGGAGGTGATGGTGGAGGTGGAGGTAGCGAACGAAGAGGAGAGCAAAAGAAAAGGAAAGCAGGGGTTGGAGTTGGGAAGACTTCTTTGCGTTTGGGATAAGGAGCCGCCGCGGGAGCACTTCAGAAGCGGATTAGAAAGGGGAAAGACTTGGAGTGAATTGTGTCCCTTGAAACGTTAGGCGGGGAAAGGATTCCTCCTCCTCTTCCCCACCCCCACCCCCCAACCCCCACGCCACACTCCCAGAGCGAGCGAGAGAGAAAGAGAGAGAGAGAGAAATAGCGCCGAGGGCAGTCAGAAAGTCAAGGGAGGATGGAGAGATTCCGCCAGGAGCGGGTCGGGGGCTGAGCACAGGCAGGGGACAGAGTAGTGGGTGGCACTGCGCCTCCTCGGGTGGTGGGAGCAGGCGGCGGCGGCACTGGAGAGTCGGAGAGGGACTGGCTGCTAGTTCCTGCGTCCTGCACTAAGCGCGCGTTGCCCGGGCTGGAAGTTTTCTGAGTTCCTGCCCTAGGATTCAAGTGGGATGAGTGTGTGTGTGTTTGTGTATGTGGGTTAGGGGAGGGGGCGGGGGAGAGTGCCTACCTCTAATCGTGGGCGGATAAAGGGGAGGGGGCTGCGCCGGAGTAAAAGTAAAAGGAGGAGGGAGGCCGGGCGAACCGCGGAGCCAAGGCTACTGGCTGCGGGCCAGAGGCAGTGTTCGAAATACAACTGCCTCGGCGACTGCAGCGGCCACGGCGGCGCCCCTATGCCACCCGAAGCTCAGCTCACGTGCTCCCGCTCTACGACGAGGTTAAGGAGACAGACCAGGGATCCCCAGCCCATTGGCTGCCGGTCTCGCGCGTTCGCCGCTCGAGGTTGCCCTGGGAAGGCGCGGGAAGGTGACTGTCCCAGAGCCGCGTTTGGAGACTCGGCTTTTACCTGAGCCTCCTTATGCGGATCCAACACTTTACGGGAAGCGTCCAGCTGCACTGGCGGCTGCGTTCTAGTTCCCCAGTGAGGGTTTGCAGAGGAATGAAAGCGGGACCCTAGAAGTTCTCTCCAGACTCGGAATGCCCTTATCACAGCGTGCGCGGGCGAGTGCGCGCGTGCGTACACACACACACACACTCACAGGCGCGCAGACATACACTTGCAAACACAACACATGCACATTTACAAGCACGCATGCAAATGCATACTCACTTGGCAGACACATGCATAAATACATAAAGACGTGCGTACTTACAAACACACATGCCCATGTGCAAGCTAAGGGCACACAAGCACTCAGAACGTCAAGTTTCTTCATAAAGTTAGTTGGTTTTTTTCCTCCGCAAAAGACTATATATAGGCTATGAAAAATCTCCCTTGGCTGTCCCAGTTTCCGACGCTCCCTGGGTAAATGCGGGACCTCCAAAGTTCTTAACAGCGAAATTGCGCCAACTGCCCAATTCTCCCGTCAATTTACCCTGATTTAATTTTCTCCCTAAAAAACTTACAGTCTGCCAACTCTTAGTTTTATAGTTTGTGCTGTTCTGTGACCACCATAATAGTCACAGTCCATTTTTAAAAGATGGAGTACATTTTAAAATGTACCTCTTTTCATCCTTTAATAACAAAAAAACCTTAAAAAAAATTAGTCTCAGATTTTCACACATCACACCCAAAATTATTTTGGACTAATTCCAAAATAAAACCTTTACCCGGGGAGGGTTTTTTTACCCCCCACTTTCAAAGTTACAGACCACCATGGAATAAAAACGCCTGCTTTGCAGCCCTAACGGGAGTAAGGACCGCCAAGCTACGCAGTCTAAGTGAAGGAGGTACTTGTAAATATCGGCTTAGGCGGGGCGGCGCTGATTGGTCCGCGTTGCCATTTTAAATCCATTTCCAGCTGTCCTTTACGGAGCTGGGACACTTCGCTGCACTTTGAGTACCGTGTTGGAACCCGGGGTTTCTCCTGAGTCTGGGAACGCTTAGCTGTGATGGAAAGGTAGAGCTCCTAGCCCTTTGATGGAGTCCAGCAACAGACTGAGTAGGGAAGGGTTTTTACAGGAACCAAAGGTTTTCTGCCAGGGCTTGGCTGAAAGATGGTATCTTCATCAAAGATAATGAAATTTCTTGTAGTAAAGATTGTAGTGACTTTCCTAACTGCAAGTTTACACACTTTTTGTGTGCTCTGTGATGTGCACATTTTACATACGCATACCTAATAGGTTCCTGGGTTTGTTTTTGTTTGCTTGTTTTTTTCGAGGAGTAGAGATTAAATTCTGAGGCTGATGGTAGTCACCAAGGATGTTCAAATTTTACACTCAGTCAGCAGTTTTACACTTGGTACTTTATTATATATATATATATTTAAATCCACTCACAGGAGGCAGGCGAGAACGGGATTCCACATTTTTAGTTTGTATTAAATCTCAGTCTACGAGATGCTTAGAAAAAATGGGGACAGGGGCTTTCTAAACTTTTTTTTTTTTTTTTAAGTTTAGCTAATTTGCTATCAGGCAATATGAATTTATAACAAGAAGAAAATGAAACAAATAACTGATTTGTCTGTATCAGTTTCTTACATTTTTATAGTTTGGATATTCTTTCTGCTTTTTTTCTAGTTTCTGTATATTTTCAGTGTTCTTGTTGTTGCTGTTAAGTGCTATCGAGTCGTTTCCGATTTATAGGGACCCCATATAGGGTTTCCGAGCAGCAGTTGTTGGGTTTGAACTGCTGACCACGTAAGTAAGCAGTGCAGTGCTTATCTGACCACCACACCAGGACTCCATATTTCCAATAGACAACATATTAAAATTTGTTTTCATCCTTGAAATTACTTGAGACTTCTACATTTCAAATTGTGCCCTCATGTATTAAGTTTATAAAGAATAAATGGTTAGATTTTATTTTTAAAGAAACGGAAATCTTTTCCCTTTCATTTCAAAGTTTGTCTTTTTTTTTTTTTTTTTTTGGTCGGCTTAAGTTTCTCAGCCTTTCATTTCTTTTTTATTTTCTCACCATAGTTTAACCCAGCATCTCCAAATTAAACTCTTTATTTTTAATTTGAAAACTTTACAGATAGTTTCAGGCTACATTAAACTGTTTCTTTTTTTCTGCACTTATTATCAAATTGAGCAATTTGTAGCTTGGTTGTATTTGTTAACAAAGTTTCTAATTATCTGTGACACATGATTTAGATTACTGTTTCAATCAACTCGGGTCATTTGTTGTTGTTAAGTACTGTGGAGTCATTCTGACTCATAGCCATCCTAATAGTGCTTCAGAGGTTTTAAATCTTTTGGGGAGCAGAAAGCCTCATCCATCTCCAGCATAGCGACTGGCAGGCCTGAACCATGGACTTTGTGGTTTGCAGTCCAATACTTATAGTATGGAGGCACCACACACACTCCCACAGGTTACTAGTAGGTGATACAATTAATTTAGTGGGTCTAGAACATAGTTTTAAAAATATAGAGCAACAAGAGAATTTCACATGTAAACATTTTGTTTCATTTATATAGTATGTTGTTGTTATTGTTAAGTGCCTTGGAGAAGACTCTGACTCATGTTGTTAAGTACCTTGGAGTATAGTGTTTGCAGGAGTGGCTAAAGGTTTGAACTGCTGATCTTGCAGTTATCAGTCTAATTCTTACATTACAGTGCCATACCAGAACTCCTCCTTCCCATAGGAACCCTGCATAGGGTTTCTGATGAGCAGAAGATGGGTTTGAACTGCTGCTCTTGTAGTTAGCATTCCAATGCGTATCCTACAGTCATATGAGTATGAAAATTTTATTAAGCTGCATTTTTTTTCACCCTTTAGCATCTTGAAAATTGAAATGTGTCTTAGTATTAGGTGGCATTGTGGGCTATTGCGCCAGAATGCGAAGCCATTTGAACTGCAAGGTCGGCAGTTCAAGCTCACCTGCTGCTCCTCGGAAGCCTTACACAGGGACGCTATGTGTCGGAGCCAACTCGATGGCACTTGACAACAACAGCAACTTAGTATTGTGCTATAGCATGTGGTTGTTGTCAAGTGCCATCAGTGGGTTCTGACTCATAATAACCCAGTATAGAGTTTCCAAGTCTATAAACCTTTACAAAAGCAGAAAGTCTCATCTTTGTCCCTAGGGGTGGCTGGTGTGCTCGAACCACTAACTGTGTTATCACCACACTCCCCTATGGCACACAAGACAGCAATATTTTAAATTTCAGTGTACATAAAATAATGGTGTGCCTTAAAATAAGTAACAACTTAGAGCAGTGAAATATAATAGATATATAAAGTAAAATTATTATGGTGGTGGTGGTGGTTCTGTGCCATGGAGTCGGTTCCAAAAGGGTAACGGTAAAACATGCTTAAATGCATCTGTTTTAAGAGACCTGAGTTTGTTTGTAATTCCACTAAACCATATCTGTGATCTTTGGTCAACCATTTCCCCTCTCTGTTTCTCAGTTTCCTTGTCTCTAAAATGAAAGATCCATATAATCTCTTAAAGTTCTTCCAATTCTAATAGACTGTAAAACATATGTAATATCTTGCTGTCCAGTTGCATCATATTTATATGTATCTTTTATATACATTTCCTGGAAACAGGTAGTATTTCTAACACTTCTTTTATGCACTAGTTGTGTCTAGGTGGTATTCAATTCTGAATAGGTTTTTGGTACTTCCTTATTACTACAAATAAAGTGATTTTTGTAAGGCTACTCTTTTACAAAATGTACTACACAGAATGAGAAAAGCATTACACACTGAAATATCTTCA